GAGTGTAGGCTGGCATCTAATAGCAGTCTATGGGCTCGTTCACACTTGACTTTGTCTAACTCTTGCCAAACGCCCCTATAGCGTTTGACAGGCGTTAGAGGCATTTGGGGAGCGTTTGAGGAGAGTTAAAAACACTTCTCAAACGCCCTATGTGCGGTTTTGAGGCGGTTGACAGGCGCAACTGCACCGCAAACGCCTGCCAGGAGTTTGAGGAGCAGCACCATAGACTTGAATGGGAGGTTTCAACTCCTCCTGACCAGGGGTGGACTGACCATTAGGAAACTCGGGCACTGCCCGAGGGCCCGGGGTCAGTAGGGGGCCCCATGAGATGCCCCTGGTACCTCTTTCATAGGCTTTTTTGAGTTTGGGCAAGGACACGGGCCCCATGATCCCCTATTGCCCGGGGGGGCCCCATGAGTTGTCAGTCCGCCCCTGCTCCTGACTTGACACGAGGCATCCGTTTTGCTGTGACCCAACACTAACACTTCAGTGTGAACAGCACTGTGTGCTGCCATGTGCAGATTTTTCATAGGCGTTTGAGAAGCGTTAAAAACGCTTCCCAAACGCTTGTCTGGTGCATGTTGACAAAGCTAGTGTGAACGTAGCCTATGTTCAGCTAGTAATTTTCCACCCTGCTCAGTTAAAATTAACATCTGCGAGTTGGTGCTAAGAGGGCTACCTACAAATCCCGTGAGGGCTACCTACAAATCCCGTGAGGGCTACCTACAAATCCCGTGAGGGCTACCTACAAATCCCGTGAGGGCTACCTACAAATCCCGTGAGGGCTACCTACAAATCCCGTGAGGGCTACCTACAAATCCCGTGAGGGCTACCTACAAATCCCGTGAGGGCTACCTACAAATCCCGTGAGGGCTACCTACAAATCCCGAGAGGGCTACCTACCTCAAGATTTAAGGGCTAGTGGAATAGCATGTGTTTTTGTTTTTTTTTTCCTGGATTTTTGGTTGATAGAGACAGAATTATCATTTAAAAGACCCTTCATTTCTTTGGGAGTGGGAAAACGTACGAAATTTGTAGGGGATCAAATAATTATTTTCCCCACTGTACTTGCTGACGGGAAGAATCCATGATCCTCCACAGCGCCGTGGGAGTTCATTGAGGACTACAAGCTGACAGCCGCTAAGGCTGTGGGGACTTGTAGTCCATTCACAGAACACTGTGAACGAATGACGCAGCCGTGTGGGCGGAGCTCTACTGTTTTTGAAACCTGACAGCTAGTACGGGGGAACCTCCCTTTTTTTTTTTGTGTTGCTTTTAAATGCCTTTGCATGTTAGCCTTTATGTCCATGCACATGTTTTAAGAGTTAGGGAATGCTTCCATGTAGAAAAAAGCCCTCTGGCAGCGCATCCAGGAGCAGCCATATTTTAACACGAACAAAAAAAAATTGACGCGTGTACATGCGTGTTAACGCTAGACGTGTTTAGTGCCCGAAAGTCAACTCCTTTCAATGTCCAGAATGAATTCGAACTAACCGCAGGTTAAAACACTATTACGCCATCTACCGTGGATATGTTCGGAGTTGACCCCTAAATCTCTGCTGGCTTTTCATTAATTTGAAAGCCCAACAGCTCCGATAAGATTTCCTACTCTTTGTTGCCACCAGTTATATTGAGGTGTCACCCTTCTCTCTGGTCTGATTGGATGAGTGGGCTCTTTCTTCTCTCCCTTTGACGGCTGGAATCACTTTCTTTGACGGATTTTCATTTGAGCACGGACTATTGTTGGTGGACTCTAATTATCTCTCTTGATCATTAATGTTTCAGCGCTGCACTTTTTGTAGTATATTATTTGAGATTCTGTATCGTTTGCTGCTTTCACTATATAATTTTAATCTGAGCGCAGACATTTATTGGGTTTAAATATTGCTGGTATTGTTGCTTCAGAAATGGTGAACACAGATTATTATTTCTTTTTTACTGGTCTAGCAAATCCCTGGTTGAAGCTCTCTTTAACCATCCTGGAGGATAGATAAAAGGGTCTCTCCTGTTTGCAACACTGCCTTCGGTAATATTTGGACGAGTAATCATACCAATAAGTGCATCACATGTTTTTGGAGGCCAAAGATTTTTTTAAATTCTGCCAGTGACATTAAAGGTCAGCCCAGTTTTGGGGTCCAGAACATCCTGCTGCATCGGGGCTTAAATAATACCAGACATAGGCTTCACCAATGTGACTATGTACACGGCTCAAAAAAAGGAAAGGAACGCTTTGAAAACACATCAGATCTTAATGGGAAACAATCTCATGCTGGATATGTATACTGTTATGGACTGGGAAATGTGTTAGGAACGTAAGCATGTCCCATCGTTTGATGGAAATTAATATTCTCAATCTACAGAGGACTGAATTCAAAGACCCCCCCGAAAATCAAAGTGAAAAAATGATGCTGCAGTCTAGTCCATTTTGCTGAAATTTCATTGCAGCAACTCAAAGTGGGGCATCGGGGCATGCTTCTAATGAGACGACGAATGGTGTCCTGGGGGATTCCCTCCCAGATCTGGACCAGGGCATCACTGAGCTCCTGGACAGTCTGAGGTGCAACCTGGTGGCATCGGATGGATTAAAACATGATATCCCAGAGGTGTTCTATTGGATTTAGGTGAGGGGAGCGTGGGGGCCATTCAATGGTATCAATTCCTTCATCCTCCAGGAACTGCCTGCATACTCTTGCCACATGAGGCCGGACATTGTCGTGCACCAGGAGGAACCCAGGACCCACTACACCAGTGTAGGGTCTGACAATGGGTCCAAGGATTTCATCCCGATACCTAATGGCAGTCAGGGTGCCATTGTCTAGCCTGTAGAGGTCTGTGCGTCCCTCCATGGATATGCCTCCCCAGACCATCACTGACCCACCACCAAAACTGTAATGCTGAACGATGTTACAGGCAGCAGAATGTTCTCCATGGCTTCTCCAGACCCTTTCACGTCTGTCACATGTGCTCAGGGTGAACCTGCTCTCATCTGTGAAAAGCACAGGGTGCCAGTGGTGGACCTGCCAATTCTGGTGTTCAATGGCAAATGTCAATCCAGCTCTATGGTGCTGGACAGTGAGCACAGGGCCCACTAGAGGACTTCAGACCCTCATGAAGTCTGTTCCTGATTGTTTGGTCAGAGACATTCACACCAGTGGCCTGCTGGAGGTCATTTTGTAGGGCTCTGGCAGTGTTCATCCTGTTCCTCCTCCACAAAGGAGTAGATACCGGTTCTGCTGATGGGTTAAGGACCTTCTACGGCCCTGTCCAGCTCTCCTATCTTGGAAGAGAAACTCTATGCGTGTGCTGGAATTGCATCGATACCTGCAACCGGTCTGCAGGGTGAGGCCTAAAACTGGAACGTGCAAAATGTGGTGCAGCTCTGCATAGAAACCATTCAAACTTTCAGGTTTTAGTGCCAAATCTTAATTGTACAAGCTGAAGTTGGAAGCTGGTTGGCTACCATGCACAGCTGCACATTTAGTGCACTAAATGTTCCTGAGCAGATAAATCTCTAGCAAGGATTCAGTAGGAGAGCTATTAGTCATTGAATGTACCAATCAGCAGCAAATTGAGCTCTTCAGTTTTCCCTATGGTGTATATAGCTAATGACTGACTGTTCTCTTGCTGGATCTTTGCTTTAGATTTAGTTACACAGGAGCATGTTTTCCTCCAAATATCCCAGTACGTTGTTTTAACCCTCCTGGCGGTATTCCCGAGTGTAGCTCGGGGTAAAGTTTCAGCACCACAAGCGGTAACCCCGAGCTACACTCGGGAATACTCTGCAGCGTTGCTCCAAGATCTCTTCTGCACTTACCTTGTCCTTCGCTCCCGTGATGTCGCCCCAGCAGCGTCCCCGGCGATGTCCTCCGGCCGATGCCGGCATCTGTCTTCCGGGTTCCGTTCCCTGGGACGTCGGGACGTACGGGGGATGGAACTGGCAGGAAATGTAAAAATGTTAAAAAAGTGACATTCACTAAATACACTAAAATCACATAATATAACATTCCTGTATCAAACCATTTCACATACATTTTGTCCCGAGTGCTTTGTCCGGCGCCCTGCCTGCATTTTTACTGTTCTTTCTGCCTGGAAACTGAGAAACGTCCATGGCGTCCAAAAAGCGTCCCTTTAGGTCAAAAGCGGTTTTAGACCGGCTAGAGAACAGCGATAGTAAATCAGAACCACTTGCAGAATTGAGTGATAATGATTCGTGGGGGAAATTCATCATCAGATACTGAAAACGATTCTGCGACTGAGCTCAGCGATGTGCGAACTTGACGCTATATTTCACATTTCAGTGTTTTTGGTTTCCTTACATTATTGAATAAAATTTATTATTACATTTTCTATGATTATTAAATTATAATTTATGATTTTGTGTTTCAAATTTTATCATACCCGGGATGTTTACTAGACTCTTGTTCGGACAGATTTCAGTGTGAGTTATTCCTAAAAATTACAGGCCTACAATAAAAAAACAGCATATTTCCATGCAAAAAAAGTCCCGCTTTGAGCACAGAAATATGGACATAATCAGACCGCTAGGGAGGTTGAGCTTTGATGAGGCAGGATGTTCTGGCTCCCAAAATGCGTTATCTGCCCTTTTTTGTTCTTTTCCATCATTGGTTAAATTACTCAAAGTACTTTGGCCCCCTAAAACATTTGTTCTTACAAGTTGGATTTCACAATCTTGGTGACATTGGCTTGTTTAGGGACCCCTTTAGAGTTTTTGAAGTCCAGGGACCACACTCAAGGAATGACTGTTTTCTATCTGAAATTTTGCGTTCAGCACTTTGTTTCTACCTCCTTTCTAGTTTCAAATATTTGTCTTTTTTTTTTTTTTTTCTCATTGTGTTCTGGAATCTTGGTGCTGGTGGGCATTGCAGACAGTAACAAAAGATACCCCAGGGTGCCTGCCTGTCTGAACACTGGGCCAGAACTTGTGGTGTGACATTCAATAAAACGTTTTCCTTCACCACTTCTTCTTTTATCCCACACAGAAAGAAGCAGTTCAGCCTGCAGAGTGTAAACAGCAGTGATGGCAACAAGATGGCAGATACATCGCTAGAGCGAAATCTTTCCAAATCTTCAGGATTCTACCATGCTGCAGCAAATTTTAAGTCGAAGCTCAACAATTTTTTTATTATTATTGCATGACTCTTTATTTTTTTCTCTTCTTTTTTTTTGTTAATTTTTATTTCTCCATTTCAGACTCACTTCTAAGCTGTATTAGAATTTTCTGATCTTGTTGGGTACTCCTAGAATGGAAGCACAGCCTAAGTCCACACACTGTATTTTATTTATTTTATTTCCCTGCTTTTTGTTACTTTTTTTTTTTTTATTATTATTTTTCTTTGGTTACATTTTTTTTTTTTTTTTTTTCTTAAGAAACTAACCAAAATGGGGGAACAAGACAAAAAAAAGTGCCCCATTGACTGAGTAGAGTGACAGCAGCCATTTTGTGCCATGACTCATGGCGGGTGTCTGGAGCGAGCGCTGTCATCGAGCTCCGTGACGTCACTAGTTCCCCTGGGGACTGCTGGCTAGGATATGGTTTGAAAACCGCTAGACACTCCGCTGCTTTAACGCATTGGGTCTGCGTTACAAATATGCCTGACGGAAATGACAATTTATATGCAGTGAAACGCTTAAGTATACACACGTTCTACTTATTTAACTTGTACAGAGTATTTAAAAACAAAAAAAAAATGCAATAAAGTAAATTAAAATAAAAAACTGAGCTTAAAGCTGGCATACGTTTTTAAACTGTTACTTGCGGGAAGATTATATCAGGTGACAAAATGGCTTTACAAAAAAGAGTTAAAGTAAATTTGGCATCACAAAAAGGCGGTGAAAGTGAATCTGTCAGACGTTTAATATCAAAACCCACTGCCTAGGGCAATCATCGTAGGGTGCCTACCTTAAAACCTTGGTAGCTGTGCACTTGTGATGCCAAGGTCTTGACTTTAAATTTGAGCTCTGCCCCCTAGGAGCTTAACCCATTTTCAATCCAATGAGAGCACCTCAGGTTACTAAAGGCACTCTGTTTGGATGTTGGAAGTGGTAGGCTCGAGACAAACCCTTAGTAACAAAGTGTAGTAACAAATTTGGATCCACAAGTATCTCAGGAGGCTTTGCTGGGTAGCGATGGTAATAGCGGGTACTTTGAAGTGGCTGCTCTTAGGCTCTTATTTACTTTTTTAAAATTTCAGATGGCTTTACATTTTTTACTCCATCACTATATGGTCAATGAAAAACTTTAAGGCTCTGAACGCCCCAAAATACACCAGAAAGTGTGGCGTCCATGGGCCAATGTTTGGATGACCCTCATTTTGCTAGCATTACTGGGAGTATTGGTTTAGTTGACCGGCCAAAATCGGCTTTTGTGCCACCAGGCTTGGCGGTGTTCTTGGACAACATAAAAAAGTAAATAATTCTTCCTTTTACGAAGTTTAAAGGGCAAGTCAAGGAACAATAATCTGCATTCTGTGAATTTCACCTACCTTCTTGGCCCAACCCAGATCTCTCCTTTAGCTATCGGCACCTGTGCCACCAGAGATGTCCTTGGACAACATAGAAAAGTAAATAATTCTTCCTTTTACGAAGTTTAAAGGGCAAGTCAAGGAACACTAATCTGCATTCTGTGAATTTCACCTACCATCTTGGCCCAACCCAGATCTCTCCTTTAGATATCAGCACCTGTGCCACCAGAGATGTCCTTGGGGGAGTTTACTGGCATTAGTCAGTACACGGCAACACAACAGGGTTCGGTTAGGAGTGGCGTTGGATCTGCTGGGCATCTTGTGTCCTGTGATGTAGAGCAGTCTTTTTCAACCTTCTTACTCGGGAGAGACCCCTAACATTTTCAGGTCTTGGCACACTTACCGAAACCAATTCATTGGGGGTCAATGAGGAAAAAATGCTCCCGACTTACATTGGTGGTCAGTAGTTAGAATGCCTCCCAGACAGTGGTGTGCTAAAAAGACATTTAGGTCAGGCAGCTAGTTTTGCCAAGTAGCTTTGGCCCTAGGAGCTATTTAGGCACCATCAGATGGGAGGTCAGTCAGCCGCTGCTCATGAAATTCTAGAAAATCCCTGCTTCAGACTGGCAGATGTAGGGAACTGTAGGTTTAGTATAGGGAACTGTAGGTTTAGTAGTGTCGGTGTAGCAGGCTGCTCCTACACAAGGGTTGCCCTCTACCTACTGATTGACTGGGTGAAGACTTAGAGGAGCTACAGTCTCCTAACCAAAATTGTAATAAAAACAGCCTCATGATTATTATGGATCTAATTTGGATATTGTCCATATAAAATCTACTTGCCAAATCTGTAGTGTTTTTTTTTTTTTTTTTTTTTTTTTTTTTCCCTGCAAAAAAATCTGGCGTGACCATCTTAGCTATGGGCATTCAAAGCCAGCGCCCCCTTCACTTCTGGGATGACGTGCAGCTGGCTACCCAGCATGCACCTCCCAATCTCATGTCTGCACAGTAGCAGCACTGTACGGCGCATATTGTTTTTGATTGGTTTCCATAACAATGGTGGTGTCGGCAAAAGTTTATGCGACTGGTTGACAACTGAGAACCCAATCGCATAATTTCCGGTGTGGAAATAATGCAATGTTAGAAGCTTCGGATGCCAGGCGACTCCTGGGATTGATGACACGGATATCCCAAAAGTCAAACAGGATAGCCTAATGACGTCATCCGCCTAAGGCGGCCACACCCAGAAGTGCCAGGGGAAAAAAAAAAAAAAAACTGGTACTTTTATAAACAATTAATTTATTATCCAATTATTTAAGCACTACAGGGGGCCATTAGGAGAAGCTTGTGATAGAAAAATCTAAGTGATACTAAAGATAAAAAAATTTTTTTTTACCTTAAAACTAAGGTAAAAAAATGTTTTCTATTTCCCTGTCCTCCCCCCTTCCCTGTGTGAAGGGGAAGAGAGGGGAGAATAGATCCGCGCTGTGCACGGCTGCATCGCGTTTCCCCTCTCTTCCTCTTCAAATAGCACTTGAACAGCAGCAGGGGCCAATGGCAATCCTATGCAGTGAGGAGGAAGTGGGGGTGGGGCTAAGTCCCACCCCCACTTCCTCCTCACTGCATAGGATTGCCATTGGCTCCTGCTACTGTTCAAGTGCTATTTGAAGAGGAAGAGAGGGGAAACGCGATGCGTTTTTTATTTGCATGTGGGGCTAAGTCCCGCTGTGCAAGTCTATGGAGTGTGGTTCCATAGACACACCGCTCGGGAGTGAGCAGACACTGTGGGGTTTATTTACTAAAGCTGGAGAGTCCAAAATCAGACTCCCTTCTGCATAGAAACCAATCAGCTTCTAACCTCAGCTTGTTCAATGAAGCTTTGGCAATGAAACCTGGAAGCTGATTGGTTTCTATGCAGAAGGGAGTCTGATTTTGGACTCTCCAACTTTAGTAAATAAACCCCTGTGTGCCTCCATAGAAAAACTGCTTGCTATGGGGACACACAAAAAAGAGGAGGAACCAGGAGCGTCGGCGGGGGACCCAAGAAGAGGAAGATCGGGCCGCTCTGTGCAATACCTCTGCACAGAGCCAGTGAGCATAACATGTTTAAAAAAAATAAATAAAATAATTAAAACTTTATTAACACTTAAAGCAGTTGTTCACTATTCCACAATTTTCAAACTTAGTTGTAGAAAGAAAGAGTGCCAAAACGACCTATTTGTTAGGTGGTTAAGTACAAATGATTATTATAAATTGTCAGCCAATGTGGTTTGGGGGATAAAAGCAAATCTTACTCCTCAGGGTTTAACTGTAGAGAGAGATTAAATCGGCATAAACCCAAAACATGTTTGGCTGTCATCTTTCAGCAAACAATGATCGTTTGCACCCATTTTGGCTTTTGCTATGAAATGTAGAAGATAAAGATCCCTTTAAATAAATAAATAAATAAATTGATGAGGCAGGAGGTGCACAGGTGCCAAAAGTAATTTGTTTTCTTCTGTCCCCAAACCGTAAATGTTTAATCTACATATCGTTACACTCCTGTACCGGCAAGTTGGAGATCAGAAGTTCATTGACTTGTCCTTTAAATAATGGATGAAGACTGATTTTGATTATTTAAAAGGTGATGTGCCATAGCCCTGATCAGACATTCAGACGAAGGCTTCCCTCCTCTGGCTTCACCCGGGACTCCTCCAGTAGAAGATCCTACAGTCTTTCCCTTAATTGCACAGGCAAGCCCGAGAATGTGAATCTCCAGATGCACCCTGCGGTTGCTATCACCAGGATGTTCATAACTGCCATGGTCATATTTAAAGGGTTAAAGAGGAGCTCCAGGCTCCCCCCAAAAAATGAAAAGTTAGGGCTCGTTCACACTTGACTCATTTCTAACTCATGCCAAACGCCCCTATAGCGTTTGACTGGCATTTGGGAAGCATTTAAACGCTCCCCAAATGCCCTATGCGCGTTTTTGAGGCGTTTGATAGGCGTTTTCCAAGCGTTAAAGCGTTAAAACCGCACCACAAACTTCTATAATGGAATTTAATGGTATTAATGCTCCGCAAACGTCTGCCAGGCGTGTGAGGAGCATCACCATAGACTTGAATGGGAGGCTTCAACTCCTCCAGACTTGAGGGGGTTTATTTACTAAAGCTGGAGAGTCCAAAATCAGACTGCCTTCTGCATAGGAACCAATCAGCTTCTAACCTCAGCTTGTTCAATGAAGCTTTGGCAATGAAACCTGGAAGCTGATTGGTTTCTATGCAGAAATGAGTCTGATTTTGGACTCTCCAGCTTTAGTAAATCAACCCCAAGGTGTCCATTTTGCCGCAAAGCGAAGGCTTCAGTGTGAACAGCACCCTGTGCTGCCATGTGTAGAATTTTCATAGGCGTTTGAGGAGCGTTAAAACCTCTTTCCAAATGCCTGCTAACAAAGCTAGTGTGAACGTAGACTTGGTGGCTACAAAAACTGTAGCTGCTGACTTTTAGCCCTGGTTCACACTGATGCGGTGCGGAATTTGCAGCGTTTTCTGTGTGAATTCCGCACCGCATCAGAATTGCCCCCCGTTCATGCGAACTGCTGCGGGTGCGTATATTATGTTAACACCCCCGAAAAGCGGTCTACAAAACGCGGTGCGACATCCAGAATCGGATCGCATATGTGTGACTCCGATTGTATGGCTCCAATCGCACCGCACACAAATCGCATGGGATTTGCACAGGAATGCGGTCAGAATCGCATGCGATGCACCACATATATGTGATCCCAGTGTGCATATAAGGACACCGCCCTGTCCTGGGAACCAGAGATGTCCTCACCCGCCGATTCTTCAATCGCCCTCAGGTGCAGGTGCCGCGGGGAAAGGGGAAACCAAAGCAGGCTGGGCTTTGTGAATGGTCCTACAGACTTCTCGGACCTAGGATGGTCCCACAGACTTCTCAGACCTAGGGTGGTCCCACAGACTTCTCGGACCTAGGGTGGTCCCACAGACTTCTCGGACCTGGGGTGGTCCCACAGACTTCTCGGACCTGGGGTGGTCCCACAGACTTCTCGGACCTAGGATGGTCCCACAGACTTCTCGGACCTAGGATGGTCCCACAGACTTCTCGGACCTAGGATGGTCCCACAGACTTCTCGGACCTAGGATGGTCCCACAGACTTCTCGGACCTAGGATGGTCCCACAGACTTCTCGGACCTAGGATGTCCTACAGGCTTCTCAGACCTAAGATGGTCCCACAGACTTCTCGGACCTAGGATGTCCTACAGGCTTCTCAGACCTAAGATGGTCCCACAGACTTCTCGGACCTAGGATGTCCTACAGACTTCTCGGACCTAAGATGGTCCCACAGACTTCTCGGACCTAGGATGGTCCCGCAGACTTCTCGGACCTAGGATGGTCCCACAGACTTCTCGGACCTAGGATATTTCCCAAAAGGCTGTGGGGGAAGGAGGCGGGGCAAAATTTCCAGCTCAGATCGCCACGGCGCATTTGATTTGGAAGTGGGAAACGGTACCTGTCAAAACCAGGTACTCACTTCCCCTTCTTTCCCCCTCCCCTGCCCCCCCAAAAAAGTGCCATATGTGGTAGTGGAGGAAGGGGAGGGTTGCAAACAAGAACGTACCCTTTCGGGTGGAGTTCCACTTTAGGAGCCAAGCACATCTGAGCTTTGTGATCCTTGTCCTTGGACTGTGATCAGGTGACAATCTGGGATTGCCTAAATACCGCTTTCGTCGTATTAATCTGCCGCAAGGTAAAGAGACGGCCGCAGAACTTTGAGCACATCGTAGTATTTGAAGTAGACAAAATCTATTCTGATTTGAATGGCAATGAAAGCACAAAATCCTCCGCCCTCCCAAATCCTAAACGGGCGATGGAAATCCCCGAAGGGCAAACTGACTGCAAGCTGTCCGCCGCGGTCTGCACCCCCCTAATGGACAAACCCGATTTTATATTTTGTGTTCGAAACGGATAGATACAGGCGAGGTCTCGGCACGCCTCTCGTGGTTACGCTTGGTGTGGCCGGGGGGAGTGTAACATGAAATGCCACCCAGGAGCCAATCTGTCAGTGCGGATGCAATGTGCCGGTGCTTTGTGCATCACAAAACTGGGTGTGATTTACTAAGAACATTTACAGGGTCAGACTTCAGCTTCCTATCGCTTCCAATTGTTATTTCTTAACACGGGTTCTAGCCCTTCCATAACAATCGTTTTCACAATGCCCTTGTCAGAACCATTCTCTTCCAAACCTGTGCCTGATTACCTCCGCTGCCAGCCAGGGAAATTCCCTCCAATCCAAAGATGATTTTATTGGCTCCTCACACACAGCAATGACAAAGGACCATGTCAGACGGGTGATTTCACTTTTTATTTCAAGTGATTTCTTTAAATGTTGCTGAACCCACAACAGTACAATCAGTCTGCAGATGCAGTAAATCATGCTTGTTATACTCACTGTGGAACCTAAGGGGTTAATCCTCTGCATTGTGTAATAAGGCTGTTTGATCCTGTCTTCTTCTCTCTGATCCTCCCCTTCTACTGTCCCAATCCATCTGCCATAGTACAGAGCAGTAGTGGCAAGTCTAGCAAAAACACACCAAACAAAGCATGTGCAGAGGATTGTTTTTTGTTTTTTTTTTTTGAGGGGTGCATGTGATCGGCTTAGTGCCAATCATACAGCCTCATAGGACAGTCAGAGAAGATTGAAAACTCCTCCTACAGATCTCGGCTGGACAATGATAACACTCACAAGGCTGCTATATACTGCTGATGAGAAAAGGTATTTAGTAGTTTATATTTATTAAATAATTGTATTTCCATGTTCTGTGGGAGACCAGATATAGTGAATGCAGGGTCCGGGGAGACCAGATATAGTGAATGCAGGGTCCGGGGAGACCGGATATAGTGAATGCAGGGTCCGGGGAGACCGGATATAGTGAATGCGGGGTCCGGGGAGACCAGATATAGTGAATGCGGGGTCCGGGAGACCGGATATAGTGAATGCAGGGTCTGGGGAGAGCGGATATAGTGAATGCGGGGTCCGGGGAGACCGGATATAGCGAATGCAGGTCTGGGAGACCGGATATAGTGAATGCAGGGGTCCGGGGAGACCAGATATAGTGAATGCAGGGTCCGGGGAGACCGGATATAGTGAATGCAGGGTCCGGGGAGACCGGATATAGTGAATGCAGGGTCCGGGGAGAGTGAATGCAGGGTCCGGGGAGACCTGATATAGTGAATGCAGGGTCCTGGGAGAGCGGATATAGTGAATGCCGGGTCCGGGGAGAGCGGATATAGTGAACGCAGGGTCCGGGGTTCAGTAACACTTTGAGAAAATCCACTACTTTCCATGGAATCTCTGACATTCGTAATTGCTCTAATTAACGCTACTCCCCCCCCTACCCTCCCCCCCCCCTCACACACACTATTCTGTGAGAGTTCTGTGAATGGATGAACTGCAAGCCCCAACAGCCTTAGCGGCTTGTAGTTTTCAATGAACTACCTGGTTCAATGAATCTTCCTGTTGGTATATCTGATTGCTCGTACATCCCGTATAGGCAAGCAGGTATACTGACAGGTCTGCAGGAGACATGCATGGCACCAGCGATCTGCTGATCATTGGTGCAATGCTTTACAGGCTTCTGCAGACAAACGTAATAAATGCACATTTTTTTTTACCTGCAAAAAAAATTTATTTTTATTATTTTTTTGTGCAAAAAGTGAACTTCTCCTCTTCAATATTACACGTTCCGCTTTAAATACAGGTGGAGCATGTAACGTGTTCCAAAAGGTGAACTTATCCTTTAAATATTACACGTTCCGCTCTAAATACGGGTGGAGCATGTAAAAAGCGTGCTTGGTTTTTAATCGGTGACTATCTTAAAGTGAACCTCAATTGAAGACCTGCTGTCCCATGATTCCTATTAATTGGTGGTAATTCCTTAGTTTGTTGGTTGGTGGGAGGGTACTTATGTCACAAAATGGGTTCTGAGGCTGAATTTTCCCTAAATGCCACCCTGCACCTGCATCTATTCAGGCCAATAGGATATCACTGTAGGAATCCAGCACAAAGGACTCGCATCTGTTCTCGGAGAGGTGACACCGCAAACCTAGGGCTAGCTAGGTGTCTTCAGGTATTTTAGAGTAGTTTACTGAATTTGATCTATGGGGGGGGGGGGGCATGAAAAGTCAAGATTTATTTCCATTATTAAAATTCCCTTTACATCGCACCATGGAGTGCCCCTTTAAGAGGACCATATCTGGAGGAGGAAGTAGAGGCGGAGTTCTGACAATGGCAGTATGGAGCTGTTCGTTTTGGTTGACCTTTACCTGGCGGTCCACAACTTGAGCGGTTCATCTTTTTTTTTTTTTGTTTTTTTTAAAGCTTTTCAGTTGGGGGTATAATGTCCCCGTGTTTCAGGAATTGTAACCTCTGAGAAGGGGAGTGTTAGGTTAGTAGTGGAGTAGGTTTCTACGATCTCCTCATCCTGCACATGTGCGGTTTTTGTTGCAGGGCTTCTATTTATTGATTAACCAATGTTTATAAGGACAGGTCTCTTTGTGTTTAGACTTTTATCATTTTTGTTTTTCCACTGACAATGTCAGGATATTAATAAAGCAAAATATCTGACCTTTTTGTGAGTCTGTGATTTATTTTGGTGTAATCTGAATTAACCCCTTCCAGTCCGGACACTTTTACTCTCTTCCTGACCAGGTCAGTTTTCAGCTTTCAGTGCTATCACACTTTGAATGACAATTGCGCGGTCATGCAACACTGTACCCATATGAATTTTTTAGTATTTTTTTTTTATACAGATAAAGCTTTATTTTGGTGGAATTTATTCAACACTGGGATTTTTATTTTTTTGCTATGTAAATGAAAAAGTCCAAAAATTTTGATAGTGTTTTTCTTATAAAATGTTGCAAATAAATAGTATTTCATTATAAATCTTGGCCAAAATTTATTTAGTTAAATTTTTAGTAAAAAAAAAAAATAACCCAAATTAGTTTATAACCAAAAATGTATAATTTTTAAACTTTTTTTTTTACATTTTTTATATTTATTTATTTTATATACTGTCACCCTAGCAGTACAGTGTCACCATGGTGAAACTGTACTACTTGTGTGGGGTGATGAAGATTTTTTTTTTTTTTTACACTGATTGCTTTTACACCCATAAAGCATGTAAAATCAATCATTTCTCCTTCTCTCTGGCTGCATTCTTGCAGCCATTGAGAACTACTGTGTGAGCTGTGATTGGTCACAGCTTGTCACATGGTACCAGGCTGTAAAAGTAATCATTTCTAGATTGTAAGCTTGAAAGAGCAGGGCCCTCGAACCCCTCGTGTATTGTTTTGTTACTGTACTGTCTCATGTTCTGTCCCCCACTACAATGTACAGCCCTGAGCAAAGCTTTTGGCGCCATATAAATACTGTATAATAATAATTTCTCCTCTCTGGCTGCATGCTTGCTGCCATTGAGAACTACTGAGTTAGCTGTGATTGGTCACAGCTTGTCACATGGTACAAGGCTGTTGTGAATAGCCCTGTACCATGTGATCTCTGTGATCATTCACAAATTTCACACGTAGTAAGCAATGATGTCAGAAGTGACATCTTTCTTACTACTCTGCATGTGATCACTGATTGGCCAATCAGTGATCACATGATCGGGACCTCGCACAGAGGTCCCGTCCGACGATCGGTGTTCCACTGTGTCCAGAGGACACAGCGGGCACCAGATCGCGGTGCTGCGCACTCCCAGGGAGCGCGCACAAGCAGGGGGCGGGGAGGCCATTGAAAAACGGCCACCTGCACTGCCACCGTCCGGCCGTTTATATATACAACGGCTGGACGGAAGGTGGTTATTATATAACCTGAAGTTCAGCTAAAATAAAATCCCTGCAGCTTTAGTCGCATCGCTTTCCTGTAATGAAGGGTGTCACTGGTTGTGCAGGCAGTTGATACTGGAGAAGTCTTCTGTGCAGGGATGCCCTGCCCTCTTCCTGTCTCTGAATGTCCACAGCTTCAACGGTTAACGGTTTTGGGTCTTCAAGCTGATGTTCAGTACTGATGATCCAACAGGGACCCCCGTCCTCTCCACCACCAAGAAAATTTCCTGGGGGATTTCCTATCAGATCTGGACCAGGGCATCACTGAGCTCCTGGAAAGTCTGAGGTGCAACCTGGTGGCGTCGGATGGACCGAAACATGACATCCCAGAGGTGTTCTATTGGATTTAGGTCAGGTGAGCGTGGGGGCCATTCAATGGTATCAATTCTTTCATCCTCCAGGAACTGTCTGCATACTCTCCACATGTGAGGCCGGGCATTGTCTGCACCAGGAGGAACCCAGGACCCACCGCACCAGTGTAGGGTCTGACAATGGGTCCAAGGATTTCATCCCAATACCTAATGGCAGTCATGGTGCTATTGTCTAGCCTGTAGAGGTCTGTGCGTCCCTCCATGGATATGCCTCCCCAGACCATCACTGACCCACCACCATATCGGTCATGCTGAACCATGTTACAGGCAGCAGAAGTTCTCCACGGCTTCTCCAGACCCTCTCATGTCTGTCACATGTGCTCAGGGTGAACCTGATCTCATCTGTGAAAAGCACAGGGTGCCAGTGGGGACCTGCCAATTCTGGTGTTCAATGGCAAATGCCAATCCAGCTCTATGGTGCGGGCAGTGAGCACAGGGCCGCTAGAGGACATCGGGCCCTCAGGCTACCCTCATGAAGCCTGTTTCTGATTGTTTGGTCAGAGACATTCACACCAGTGGCCTGTTGGGGGTCATTTTGCAGGGCTCTGGCAGTGCTCATCCTGGTCCTCCTTGCACAAAGGAGCAGATACCAGTCCTGCTGATTTGTTAAGGACCTTCTACGACCCTGTCCAGCTCTCCTAGAGGAACTGCCTGTCTCCTGGAATCTCCTCCATGCTCTTGTCTCCTGGAATCTCCTCCAGCTCTTGTCTCCTGGAATCTGCTCCATGCTCTTGTCTCCTGGAATCTCCTCCATGCTCTTGTCTCCTGGAATCTCCTCCATGCTCTTGTCTCCTGGAATCTCCTCCATGTTGTCTCCTGGAATCTCCTCCATGCTCTTGAGACTGTGCTGGGAGACACAGCAAACCTTCTGGCAATGGAACGTATTGATGTGACATCCTGGAGGAGTTGGACTGCCTGTGCAATCTCTGTAGGGTCCAGGTATGGCCTCATGCTACCAGTAGTGACACTGACCTAGCCAAATGCAAAACTAGCGAAAAACAGTCAGAAAAGATGAGTAGGGAAACAAATGTCAGTGGCCTCCACCTGTAAAACCATTCCTGTTTTGGGGGTCGTCTCATTGTTGCCCATCTAGTGCACCTGTTGTTAATATCATTAACACCAAAGCAGCTGAAACTGATTAACAACCCCCTCTGCTACTTAACTGACCAGATCAATATCCCAGGAGTTTCATTGACTTGATGTTAGACTCTGATTAAAAAGTCTTGCTTTTTTTTTTTTTTTTTTTTTTTTTTTTAATCAGTGTATAAAATATATTGCACTCACATATTTCAGTGCCAGACGGCACCCTCAAAAGGCAAAGGGGAAAAACAGATACTGCGCACTGCTGCTCACTCAGCCTGAGTCGGCGTGTGTTCCATGACCCAGATCCTCCACTGGAAGTCAAAATCTTCCTGATGACGCAATTTGCCAACTGCATTGAGGCCCAGCCATTTGTCGTCACTTCCGCTGGTGGAGCCGGGTCGTGGAACGCACGCCGACTCAGGCTGAGTGAGCAGCAGTACGCAAGATCTGGTTTTCCCTTGCCTTTTGAGGGCTTTGTGTGGCACTGAAATAGGTGAGTGCAATATATTTTATACTTTTTCTGATTTTTAAACTTGCACTATAGGAACCTTTCTTTTTTGAGTGTTTGTGCTGTTCTTACCCTGCCTGCAAGAATCTGCTATGTGGAAGACTGTGAAGATATTGGTGATTGTGATATCGTTGAACATGATTGGTCTTCTGATATTCCATATCTGGTGAGTTATTACTGTCACTGCACGTGGTGGATATGTCTGTAGCAGTGGATCACCTGATCTTTATTTGGACACATGTAGTGGATGGTTATCTTGCGGAATTATTAGGACTTTTTGTTTTATGGGCTCTTTATTATTATTATTATTATTATTATACAGTATTTATAAAGCGCCAATAGTTCGCT